CTCTATTGTACGACACCATGTGTGGAGTGCATCGTAGAGGTACATACCTTACTCTCTCTATTGTACGACACCATATGTGGAGTGCATCGTAGAGGCACTTTACGGACTGGCCAAGGTGAGTCGTAGCTGAGATGGGTTGGAAGTACGGAGATTCGCAGCTCACCCTGAAACAACCAAGTTCGTTAAAGATTTTCGGAACATCCTATACCTGTCTGTATCTTGCTGATTATCTATCGCTCTATCTGCGTATCTGCTTGTCTGCTTGCCTTCCAATCAGTTAGCTCACATGCCGGTGCCCGTCATTCAGCGTCCGCAATCGTACATGAAATTTAATTGAGCGAATAAAACTTATGCATCGTTACGCTTTTCTCCTACTAAAACCTCCCAGCGTTTATATCTCGGTACAGAGAAACACGCACACGTCTTATCTAGAGGTTTTGCACCAACACGTGACGGCAGCCATGTTAGATGCCAGGGACAATAAGATTGTTTTACATAAGAAAGAATTCAATTCCCAAGAGCAAAGGGATTTTATTGTTCTGCCATCTAACCACAGGCAGCCCAAGATGTAAATGGATGCCTGCACGTGATGGTGCAAAACCTCTATTGGTTTACTAAAGCAACGCAAGCTTTTACGATGGTCTCTGCCTGTTTCAAATACGTTTTTAGGTTTTAGAAAATGTTAAACTATATAAATTAGTGAACATTGCGCGTCGACTTGATGATTCTAAGACATACCTTGGTGTTAAAGTAAAGAAAACCCTTCGGACAGTTGACGTTGTGAAAGGCCGCAAAACACGTGACTGGACCATCGATGCTCATTGGATGACACCGTAAGGCTCCCCGATTGGTTACAAATATCCAATGAGGGAAAGAACCACAAACGAAGATCTTAATGAAGAAAACAGGCAGAGTATGAAAACACAAGTCAATATGCTTTAAAAAATATAATCTGATTCAATTTCTAAAGACAATTAGAAACAGCTCTCTTACCCCTGCATAGGAGGAGATGTCTTCAAACACTCTCAGACTGGCAACTTTTGTTTTGGCTGTAAAAAATATTGAATAAATTTCAATATATCTAACTTCGTAGTGCATATAACCCCTGATTTAATATTTTCAGTACTGATTCTAATTGAAGAGAATAGTTGAATGATAAAATATTTCTTGATTTGAGTG